TGTATACAAATGAATGAAATAATTCGTTCCAAATTCTTTCGCTTTTTTGTTTCCGATGCGATGAACCGATACGACGGATTATATCCGTTGTCGCCAAACACGAGCACATTGAGACAGGGCGGTACTCAAACTTCCAAAGGGCTACAACTTTGTTACTTTAATTTTACCAGAAAAATGGTAAAGGAAAAAAACATTTCTTTTGATCAGATCTACTCACTGTTAAAATAAATGACTCAACTTCGAAGTCACCCTGTATATTCCCGACATATCAGTTTATTTTTCAAAAATAAAGGAACCGAATTGCGTAGGATAGCATAATAAATGAAACCTATACAATTTCGCAACATTATCCAGTTAAGCTGTCGGAAACATGAACTAATATGATCATATTTTCTTAAGTTGAAAATCAATCTACAACATGAATTCTGAATTTTTTGAAGACGTTTAGCTGAAACTGGATCTAGAAATGGATAGTATACCTACTAAATCACAATATGTGATTTTTGATGTTACTAAAGATTCACATAAAATTCTTTTGGGTCGAAAATCAAGTATTTCTTCAAGTACAGATGCTGTAAAGCAGTAAAACAATTTCTAGTTACATAATTTACATGAGAAATAAACTTTTCATCTATGAGTATAAACAAACCTAAGTTTTTAACTGATTGAACTGATGTTCAAATTATTTTTAATAAGGGACCTTAGATCTTAAGGAGAAGAAATAATAACTTTGGACTATGCTCTGTTGCATAATTTTCAATAGAATTCAGGTCCTCTATTATTTGTACTTCCGAAATTTCTAAATTTTCATGATGAAACTATGATATAATTATGAGTCGTCAGCAAAAAACTGAATACTACAAATACCACATTAGAGGCCATAAATTTCAGAAAAATATATGGGTAGATATAAAAACAATAAAGTCATCATTTACAAAAGTATCGCAGAACGCAGAGTATGCCTCGGACTTTTATCATTTAATTTTATCGTTCTTACCGGGGTCACAAGCTTCTTAATGACATAACCTCTATGTTTGATGCTATACCTTTACCTAACATTTGCACCATACCCCTACAACCCTCAATCCCCATTTTTAACACTTACAATTTTTTTTCGAAAATTATCAGTGCTCTGAAACATCAAAAAACTAAGTTTGAGTGATTTATTTTCGTTTTTGGCCTATTTCTCCGATTTTTAAAAACCACAAAGCTTGTTCGTCCTTGGCATAGCAGTAAGATTGTGTAAAAATTTCATAAAAATCCGAGTGATAATTCTCAAGTTATAAGATTAGCGGACAAACAGACAAACCGACTGAAATGCGACACGATTTTTCGTGATGTACATCAAAAACCATAATATCTCATTTTCAAAATTTTTGGTGATTATTAAAATACAACCATGCTCGTTTCTCCTGTGGTTGCGACTACATATTTTGGATCGTAGCTCGCCTAATTTTAAATCGATCTGTTCTATAGTGGTACTCAAGTTACACTTGTATGACAAATCTTGCTCAACAAGTGAAAGTAAATCTAAATAATTACCTCAAATGTTGTAATCTCGGTTGTGACGTTGTATGCTCGACCAAATCCAGGAAATGTACAAACAAAACGAAGCACTATACTCGCCATCTTGGTAAACTTTTTTACATAAGATATTCTTCCAAGAAAAGGACGTCCAGCCTCCCAAAAAGCGAGCATGATGTTATCCGCCTTTTTTTACTGTTTACTTGTTCATCGTTCAAAAAAGAGCTAAAACCCTCAAAAAACGCGAAAACTCACCCAGAACTGTTGACGTAACACACCGGTTAATTGTTGAAAATGCATCGTTTATGGATCCGAAACGCAAGAAATAGTACTTCGACATTTAAAGGAATTGTGTTTGTCCTATGAGAAAATATATTGTCGAAAAAGTGTCATTTGTACTGAAGAAGATCGCCGGTATACAATAAAGAAGAATTTTCAGCACATGTGGTTTGATTGACCAGATAGACATGGGGTTATCGACATCAAAAAAATCACAGGATAACTTTCAGATGTTATAATGAATAGTAAATTATGTATTAACTTCCGAAGAATCAATAAAACGTGAATTCATACCTATCCATACTTATTCGTACCATATTATTTTTGAGGGAAAACTAAAATGTTCTCCACACGTTCGTGTACAGCACTCACAAAAATGCTGGCGCCGTTCACTATCCCCTGGTCTAAGTCATTGGCAAATCCTAAGTTTATAGAGGCGACATCTAGTTTTACACTAAATACGAGTATATTGGGCTGTGTATTTGGCTACTCCTACATTTTTCTCAATTTGCCTAGTTGTGTACTTACTTTGCTGACTTCTTTCGGGAAATTTATCATTTCTGCAGTGTTTTTAGTATTTTTGTAGCACAAAATGAAGCACGTCAGCATGTCGAACGTTTCTTCATTGCTAAAATGGCTGCCTGGCATCTTTGACGATAATAAATCAATACTAACAATACACAATAATAAGAATATTGAAATTGAAAAAAAAAAATAAAAAAACGCATTTTTCCTTATAACCAAGAAAATATATGTAGCATGTAATACACCGTTGAATACGTATGCTGCAGGATATACTTTTTTCGGGCCGTATAAAAAATAAAGTTGATGATGGTTTCTCAATGAGGAAACGTCGGGTGCGAAATTTAAAAACATCATCATGTAGTGCCTAAAAGGTGATAATGGAAAATTTCCATTAGTTTTTTGGTATTTCTTAAATAAGGTCAAAAAAAAATTAAAATGACTTGTCCAAATTTTAGTTTTTTTCAAATATTCTCAGTAAATGAAATTATTGCAAGTTTCTCACCGGCATGTAAATAAGCCCCGCAGAAATCAACTTTTTCCTTATTTAACCCAAGCTGCATCTCCCAGAGGTATTAAGATTCCCATGCATAGGATCCTTATCTTGGACACCCTGTATATGGTTGGATATCTTCAGATAGTGCGTGACTTTCCTTTTATTTGATTTAACTTGCATACCAACAAAGTTATATGGTGGTTATATTCATGCTTTTTCCAAAGAGTATAGTGATTTCTTTTATATTACATAATTACTTTTAGAAGTAAATGTCAAATTAATATTTGACCAGTCTTAAATATTCTTTTCGCTGAAAATAAGAAGGAAACAACGTACCAACTACCACGACAAATCAAATACCTAGTCGGTCACGAAGTTTCAGATGTACGAAAGAGATGACAACGGCTACACCAGAAATTTATAATCCCATCTACTAATGGCCTCATTGTGTGATGAACAGTGGCGGCTCGTGCCAATTCCGTGAGGTAGTGCCAGAATGGAAGCCATAATTTTGAATCGATTCAAAATTGTAAAGAATAACTTATAACTTACCCCTGATAGTTAGTGGTCAAAGTTCTTGAGGTTCAATAAATCTATATGTCCAAAAAAAAATCAAAAATAAAACTATTTACACACGCGCACCAAATTATAAAACAAGTGTGGAGAAGTACCTATAACTATAGTTTTCTATATATGAGGTCCATTCTTCTTTCTTTTTTGGTAGCAAAGTTTTCGATTACCTTATTATTAAAATATTCAATGCCACTAACAAAATGTTTTTCTGCAGACAGCATTCCTAAAGCACTAAGCCTTTCTTCCTTCATTGTGTTTCTGAGGAAAGTTTTAATCCGTTTCAGCATTGAAAAAGAGCGTTCTGCTTCAGATGTTGACATCGGTATAGTGATTAAAATACTTAAGAGCTTAAGAGTTTCTTGAAACGTACAATTTAATCCTTCCTCGTTCAATAAAATGGATAGTGGAACAGCTCCAGAAGTAGTACTCAATTCTTCTCTCTGATATAATACTTGTAACTCAGTTTTAAGCCTGTTTTTGTCTAAAAATGAAAATTGTGTGCATGTGTCATTTAAATGTGCTTCAGGAAACTGATGTTTATAAACAGAAAACTTTTCACACACAAATAAATTAGAAGCAACTAAATGTCCAGAAAAGTTAAATCTTGTTCTTATTTGCGATAATACTGCATCGCATATTTCTAACGCTTCCCGTTTTTTGCTGCCTTCTTCAACTTGCCTTTTTTTTCTTGCCGGTTCATCAGTTTCTCTCTGCACTCGTTCAATCTCGTCAATAATGCTATCCATTTGTTCTCGTATAGTTTGAATTGCTGCTTCAAAATTCTCTAAATCATTTTTGACCTTAACAGAATCGGTGCGTACTTTTTGTAATTGGTTAAAGACAATTTCAACATGTGGCATTATTTTATGGAAAATACTTAGCCAAAATACAAAATTTGTATCTTGCAGCTTTAATTTGTACCCACTGGCTTGATTAATCGACGAAGAATCGCGTGAAGTACTTTCTATATTGTCCATAACTTTAATCAGGTCTTTCCTATTTTCATAAACTGTATGAACACCTCGTGACTGAAAATTCCAACGTGTTTGGGAAGATCTTGGCAATCTGCGATTAACTATTTCATCCAAAATTTTTGTTCTTTGAGGAGACGTCGAAAAAAAAGAGCACAATCCAGATAAATTATGGAAAAATATTCTAGCCTGCTTATTGACAGTGCATGCGCTTGTCATAATTAGATTTAACTGGTGTGCATAGCAATGAACATAATTTGCAAGTGGATAAGTTTCCTTAATAATTTTTTGAACGCCATTCAATTCACCACTCATAACAGACGCACCATCATGGCTTTGAGCTATTAATTTGTTTGGATTTTGATCTAGTAATGGATTTACAACATTTAAAACGCACGCAGCGATTGATTTGGCATCGTGTCCGTCGGGGACGTAAAATCTCCAAAATCTCTCAACTGGTTGTCCTTTACACAAATATCTGAAAATAATAACTAACTGAAATTCACAGGCTACGTCCGTCGTTTCATCGGCAATTACTGCAACAAAAGGAGAATTTGCAATCTCCTTCTTAACTTCTTCATGATAAACATCTAGCATGCACTCAAGAAGCTCGTTTTGAGTTGTTTTTGAGCTACCCTCAAAAAGTTTGGCACTTTGAATATGGACTTTCAATTCGTTGTCTAATTCGGCGCTAAAATTCACCAGCTCCTTAAATATGCCTCTGTTTTCCGAATTTTCCTTTTCATCATGACCCCTTAAGGCTAACTCAAATGCTCCACAAAACCTTATACAATTAATAATTTTATTCAATACATATCGATTCTTATCCACTTGATTATTATGTTTAATTAGATCATTGCGATAAGCCGAATTGAGTTGAGTCCTTATATTTAATTTACCAAGAATAGAAAAGCTAAAAACATTATTCATATGGACTTTAGATTTTTCGTGGGTCTTCATTTTATCCCATATATGTATAAGATCGTCTGTACCTTTTTTTGGCCAAGTCTCGTCACCTCCAAATAGAACACATACAAAACAAAATAGTTTATTCGTTTCTTCACAACCACATATACAGCTGTTTTTATCATACACATTTTTATTAAATTTGCGACAGCGCGATTTTTGTCCGCTACCACTTTGTTTCTCAATTTTTAAATCGGGTATTGGCCGTCCTAATTCTTTAATTTGCAGTTTTTGATCCAGCGAAAAACCACTAAGTGAGTTTTTTAATATCCCGATTTTATTCATTTTCACTAGTTTTAATAAAACAGTAAAAAATATGATCACAAAACAGAGCAGTTCATTAACACTAGACGTACAAAAACAAAAACGTTATTTCTCACTTTTCAGGTAAAAAAAGACCGAAATCAGCACTAGACGTAATCATAACCAAACGACCGACCGAACAAAAACACCGCCGATATCATTTGATAACGAATTACGACTGATGATGTGCCTGGCACAAATTATACTTGTCTTTCGCTATTCACCTCATATAAACATGTCATGCGTAGCGTTATCTCTGTCGCTCGTATGCGATGCTGGTAAAATTTCTCTCTTTTTATTTGGACCGGCCCTAAATTGGCACAAGTTGATGACGCCAAGGTCAAGGCATGCTCGTCTCGTCGCGTCGGTCGGGTGCTTGCGGTGTTGTCACGTTGTCAGTGTTGTCACTTCATATAATTTATACCAAAAAAAATGAAAAAGCAGAAAATAAAGTAAAACATTGAAGATTGAAAAAAATATTCTTTTTGAAGAAGACAAGGTAGTGCCATGGCACCGTGGCACTACCTCACGAGCCGCCACTGGTGATGAAGGAAACAGAGATGGAAACAGTGCCCCTTATTACCATCCGATTGGATGCAAATACAGCCAAAGCACAGTTACCGTTGACAGTTTCGCCTGTGGTACTGTCAGCGTATCAGATAGTACTCTTATAAATAACCATTAAAATGCCGCTTAATATGATTTTCCGCGACCAACTGCCTGGACACGATCTCGAATCAGATTATCGTTACGATCGATCTCAAATGGGCACCGTTTTACTTCCCACACAAAGTGGAGCACTATTGAGATCGAAAAATTGTTTTTATTTGAGACTAAACTTTACCATATCATGAGAAATCGACTTAAACCACTATTTATACGAGACCTCGCATTCGTGAGAGAAATTTTTCAACTTTTGTTGAAATCTGCTTAACATGAATGAATGAATGTATTTTCCGGACGGTAACACGCAGGGTAAAAAACTACATAATGTCAAAAAACCGACAAAATGCCAACTTGCTGACTAAATAGCTGCTAGTATACAAATATTTCATTCCTCTATTGCTAGATACGTCACCAACCAGGAATTTTCTTCTTTTATCTCTCGCATTTGATGAATAAGCTGATTTCTTGCTTTTCATATGTACATCTCACGTGAGTGTATTTGAATCAAGAATTTAAGGGAACTATCAACAACACAGAATATTAACACACAAGTCCTCACTATGCACCTTCCGGCTATGGTATGCAACTTACACCTTAGACCTCCATAATGGATTCGTGATCATTCTGAACAACAAAAAGGCGTCAAGTAGGTTGACTCTACACTTCTCACGCAACGCTCTCATCAGATTATGAAAGATTTTGTTCGATCTAAGTTAGCCCTTTTAGCGAAAGGCCAACTACTAACATGTAAAACAAATGAATTAAATAGATTAAGTTAGTTAAATAAGTCTATACAATTAGTTATTTCCAAGAAGAAATTTCTGACTATCAGAGACTGTCAAATAAATTAATGATATGTTGTTACCGAGCTTCGCGCTGAGCTGATCTGGCGCTTGATTCTAAATGAGTTTCGACCGTTGAAATTGATTTCGATGGCGCCTTGTGACGATATACTTACTTGATTCGCTATGAACTTTGATATCTGATTATATTGATCTTCTATATTCAAATTATCATGGGAGTGTCAAAATTATCATAGCTAATCAACTATATCCTCACAAGGAGCCATCGAAATCAATTTCCTCATTTCCACTGTTCGGGACTATCAGAAATTCATTGTTGGGCAGAACCGAAGTCGTTCTCAGTTCCCACCCATTTAACAAGCCCCGGCAACGGTGCTATCGGAATGGCGATGAGTAAGCCCGATGCCACCGAAGCACAGTCGCCGAGTCACCAGCATAGTAACAGAAACTTTACCGATTTCTCGACGCGGGTGTCGAAAATCTTTCTTCTCAAAAGTCTTAAGAGCAAACATTCCCCACGGGGAAATATATGTATGTATCTATAGGTGTATAGAATTACCGCGGTTAGAAGGATATAAATTAATGTACGTACCAAAAATTTTATACCCACCACTGAATCGATTTTCAAAAACACAAAGCTTTGCAAAATACTGACGACCTTGTAGTTACAATCAAAACTCCAACCGTTCGATAACTCGCAAGAGAATTCACTTTTCTGTTTTCTGCGGTTGGTAAATTTCATGTTTTATGTTCCTATCAAAATTTCCTATACTAATAAAATATCAATATTACGAAAATACACTCGCAGAGATTTGTGTATTTCCAAGAAACATCACAATGTTATGTTGTATGTAGCATTTCTCATTAATGTGATCATTCTCGTGAATAATAATAATAAATATCTCGCTATGTATCTGGAATGTTTTTTCTACATTTGTCGATAACGTATCTTTATCGGTTACCATTACATTTAATACGTCCTACTAAATCTATCGGAGATGTTGCTCTGAAATTTACTTTAAATCAATTTAATGCAGAAAAAGTATCCAAGGAATTATACAGGGTCTCCTAGAATAACGTGTCAATCTATTCTATGCATGCGAAACACAAAAACTAATATTACAAGTTCCTAGAAAAAACGGACAGAGGTACAGACCTCTGAAGGACGCTACTTAAAATCAGTTTTTCTTGAAGTTTTGAACGATACTACAACTTCAACTTTATTAATGATCCGTCAGATCTGTCTGACAAGTATAGGAATAAGTCATTAAAATTCGTATTAGTCGAAGAACAGCAAAATATACATTAAAAAATGTATATAGGTATGTTACGGCTAAAACTCGAAATGGGGTGTCAACTAGGTATAGCCGGTTAGAACTAGCTGTAGCCACTGGCAGTTGGTTAGTCTTAGGTGCAACCTAACCATTCATGGCCAAACCTAATATTAGCCGGTTACATTCGGTTAAAACTAGATGTATACGTTACAATCAGGTTTAAACGGGAATTTTTAATGAAAATATAATGTCATCATTTTCATATTATTTATTTCAGCAATTAATTCTTAAATATAACTTAGCCATACCTTGGCATTGCCATCCCGGGTAAGTAACCGAACTAATAAAAAAACTTATTCTTTTTCATAGTTGTAACCAAACTTAACAATTTAAACATATTTTTGATAACTGTAACTGAACCTTAGAAGGACTAATGAAAAATAGTATATCATCATAGAATTAAAAGATCGCCGTACTAAGCAATGTTTGGTTGTGATTTTAAAGTTTCGTAAAGGTCATCAGTTCTGCCTCTCGGTGCAATCGAGATTTTCGAGAATGAGGAGGATCTGGAGAAAATTCTTGAACAGTTTAAAAATAACAGTAGCGAGGTAAATAAGGCAGAAATCGAATCCCATGGAAATGGAATTACATAAAAAGCAGTTTGCCAGCTTTGTGACCAGAAGGGAGGTGAAAAGTGTGTCTTGTGTAAACAATAAATAATAGTAGGAAAGATGCGGCAATTTCTCTAGTATTACAGGCTAATAAATAAAACGACAGTTTCGTTACAAATGAAAAGTTTTCTCCTTGCAAAGTAGGTGATACCGTCCGTGTTAAAATTCCTGACGATGAAAGGGGTAGAGGAAACGTCCCAAATGATTTAACAGTAGTACTAAAAAAATATGTTTTTAATTGTTATACCCACATCAAATATTTAGAAATTCTAAAGTTCAGTCACACTTAAAAAAATATTTTCAAATTGTAAAGTTCAATTACAGCTATTAAAAAAATGTTGTTACTAGAATAATTTTTTTTATTATTGCAGTTACTTACCTTTGATGATAATGCCAAGGCATGGCTAAGTTATGTTTAAGAAATTTATTTCTGGAATAATATGAAAATCATGACATTATATTTTACTTAAAAATGCCCGTCTAAACCTGCTTGTAACGTTTACATCTAGTTTCAACCACTAAGGATTGGCTAGACCTAGGTGTAGCCGGGATCAAGTTGGTTGGACCTAGTATTCACCGAATGCAACCAGCTAATACTAGGTTTGACCATGAATGTATAGGTTACACCTAAGACTAACCAAATGCCAGTGGCTACACCTAGCTCTAACCGGCTAAACCTAGTGATCGTATTTCGGGTTTTAGCCGTAACATATTCACCTAGAAATTCGACACAATTGTTCTGCTTCAAGTTATACCCCATTACCATTAATCCTTACGCTGAAATTTAATTCACTGAGCTTAAACAGGACCAGTTCTGCTTTTGTGCATTCAAAATGAGATCATTAGACTCGCAGTAGTTACTAAATTGAATGCATTATTTGCCTGGGTCCCTGAGGATCCAAGCTTGAGTAGTAAAGGTCGTGCCATCCGCAAAAAGCGTTTTGAATATATTAGGACTTCAGTTAGCCCACTTCAAGATTTGTACCAAAATATGCCTTTATAAACTAAACATGACGAAACTATTTACTTCTAAAAAAATTTATTTTCTCAAAAACATTTTAGATACACTCTAGTTGTAAAAAATACATATAGACCTATAAC